CGGCTGCAGTCTTTGGACACAACATTTCAATGATCATTATTGTTGTTGTTGCTGCTGTTGTTATTATTATTAATTTCATTTCTATACCACTTTATATTTTCAAGAAAAATCTCCAAGCAGTTTACAGCATATTAAAACATAAATAAAACAATCTGAAGAATGTCAAATATAGAGTATACAGTTAGAGCAGCATAGTTAACAAAAAACTAAAGTATTAAAGATTTCAAAATAAAACATTACAAAGGAGGTCAATTACAGAATACATATTTAACACAGTTAACAAAAACAAAACAAAAAACTTAAGTATTCTCCCCCCCCCAAAAGCCAACATTGCTAAGTAAAGTCAAATATAAAATGCACATTTAAAACAGCATAATTAACAAGAGAATAAAATATTGTCATAAGCATGACACGGCTGTTTAGCAGGCACAAAAAGATGGGGCAAAAGAATCCAATAGTTTGGGTTTCTTGTCAGGCCGAGCGATGTCCTGAGGCATCAGATCAAGGTCTGCATTTTAAAATGAGCCTAAAAAATATATTTGCAAATGTTTGTATGTCTCATGCCAGGCATAAAGCAGCTGGCTAAGTACTTTGGCAGATGTTTATCTCCTTGAACAGCCCCCCCCCTGATTTATAACAGGAGACACGTTTCTTAAAGTTGTAAAAGGAAATTACAGGCTGGGAGCAAAAGGTCATATTGACCATACAAATTACAGAATACAATCAAGCTGCAAAAACACTAATTAAGAGTTGGTAAATAGTAAGTTTTATTGTTTAACAGAAGACTCGAGCCATATTTTCATAAGGTTAAAGGGCAAGAGCTAATAGAAACAGCAGCTGGCTTGAAAGGGGGGTGTAAATTGAAGAGGTTGCTTTTGAAGCTGTTTCCTTTTTACTTTGAAAAGGCCTTTTCTTCTAAAAATCTATATATGTTATGTATGAAATATATTGGCTTAAATGTAATTATGCAAAGGATCTAGAAAGTAAGAAACGTTAGATTCTTATGTTAGATTCTTATTTCATTGATGGTGTGTGAGAAGGTGAACCCAAGATCTCTGTTTAAGATAAAAATTAAAACCATTAGCCATCTGTTCTGGAGTGAATAGGGTAATAGGGCAATAGGGCAAAGATGATCTGATAATTAAGGTGCCTGGTCGAGGCAAATGTAAGATATATGGCTACTTGTCTGCCATTTATGGATAGAAGGAAATATAGCTCTTTGTCTCCCATAAAAGGTAATAGGAAATGGGTGTATCTTTTATGATTGGTTCTAGCAAACAGCCAATAGGAATTTCAACCAGGCTGATTGGACAGAGGCAGCCAAAGGAGGAGCAAGGGGGCTGGGCTGAGGGAATATAAGTGCTGGCCATCAGGGCTGGAGGGCCAGAGCTTTGGTATGCATATACCACTGTGTCTCTCATTTATTTGTCTGACAAATAAATTATTATTTTAATTTCTCTATTGCTGCGTTGAATATTTCATTCCAGCTAAGCGTTAACCACAAGCAGGGTGCTACAGTCCCTCTGGTCTCACCAGGAGCCTCTTTAGTAGAGCTCGTGTCTGGGCCCTGCCCCCCAGGCCAGGTGGAAAGGGCCTTGCAGGAAGCGGCCTTCACAACTCACAACCGGGCAAGGCCATCATGATGACACACAGTTCAAAAGGAATTCAATTATGATTCCAATCATAAACAGGCAATGATGTTGCTAGGTGAAGTCAAATGCCCTGTTCTTCTGTTTGCAGACTTCAGAAAGGCTTTCAAATTTTCAGTCTTGAGTTTGAGTGGTACAGAGAGTCAGTTCCAGCATTGCAGTCTGCAGGCCACACTTGGTTTAGGTCTCCTATTTTTGCAAGATGACTTAGCTTCCTTTTGCTTGTAAGAGCTTTTCCTCAGTCAGCCACTTGGCTCTTAAAAAGTTAAGAAATGATGTCCTTTCAGAGACAGGGGTGCACACTGAGCATAGTCCCGAGGAGCTGACACCACAGGTGTGGGGTGGAGAGATGCAGGAGGTACATTCCTTCGTTATGTGCACACATGCAAATGCAAACACACAGAGGGAGAAAATAACTGTTCCCCACATCAAACAGGGGGCGCTTTTTGCACGGTCGCATGCAGCCCCCCCCATCCCATGGGGCTCCCAGCACTACAGCCTGGATTCCCCCACCCCCACCCAGGCTGGACACCTGGAGGTAGCCGCCTACTTCTGCCAGTTACCCAATCCCAGCTGGGGAGGCGTTGCCAGGAGAGAGTTAGCCAGGGAAGGGGAGGGATCGCCCAGATCAAACAATAGTGGGCGGAACTTACCTGGGAGTTCTCAGTCAGCTTCAGAGCTTCTTCCACCCTGCCCTCCCTCAGTTAAGCCTTCTTTTGCAGGTTAACCTTTTCTTCACAGGTATGCGGGCGCTGCTACGTTATGGTTGCTGTTAAAGGGCCAGAAAGGAATTTTCCTGCATTGGCAGGTTTTGCCTTCCCCGTAGCAAAACATCACAACTTTGGTGGTTTCAGGCCTTGGGCAGAATCCTTTAGCCTATCTTCCCTAAATCGGGGGAGGGAAGCAGTGACCCACGCCCCCCCCCATTGTGGTGATCCCAGGGTTCCCCAATTAAAGGGGTTGTTTTGAGGGGAGTCATTGGCCATATGCCATTAGGTTGTCATTGGCGAAATGGGGGGCAGGCTCTCTCCAGCGCCAGCCCAATCCCCACACATTCTGTTCCCCAGATCCCCAGCTGGGGACTGGGAGGGTTAAACGCCCAATGCCTAAGCCAAGGTCTCCCTACATCTGAAGTTTTAATAAAGTTGTGGCCAAGTTTTAATCCCATAACACGTTGTCTTGAGTCAGTATTCCACACGGGTGTCGCCCAGGGTTGGGGGGTCTCCGCCTGTCAGCGCAACAGTTTTTTGCAGTAGGAGCTGCTAACACAGCCATTTACTTCACCCCCAGAGGCACACTCACTTGTCCCTCGAGACAGACAGATGGCAGCAACTGTAACATCTCCTGCAAAGTAAATGGGGCATTGAATAAATATCATGAAAGAACAACAGCAAACTTGAGCAACAAATACACACTTTCTCAGGCTGCATGTTGAACATCTCTCTCTCTCTCTCTCTCTCTCTCTCTCTCTCTCTCTCTCTGTTACAATCCTGACCTTTTCCTCACTAATAATAGTGTTGAGGTTCTGGACAGTTTAGAGTTAACACTCCAAGAGGCGTTCTTATTCACTGGGTGCCTGCCCATATCATCCGGGGGTTTTCCTTTTGTTCTGAGAGTCTCTGAGAGTTGGTTTCGTTTTTGTGAGAGACAGAACGCTGCAAGCATGCAGCTTGATTCTGTCGGTTTCTTTTCTGTTTCTTTATGCTTCTGAATAAACACCTTTGGGAGAATAGAAGCACTGGTGTCAAGTTGATTTATTGGAGACACCACTTTGACACAGACCAAGCCATTTATGCTGCATACGAACTCTGCGACGGCCGACAACTGCGAAGTGCGGCAGCATGCTGAAGAAGCGGGCGGGTGGCCATAAACGTCAAACCAGCTCATAAATAAGGCCAATTGTCGTGCCGGGCAGCAGACTCCGTGGGTCAAAGGATTTACCATCTACAAACTTTAACATGTGTTACCGGAAATTCCGAGGGCTCCATTGGGTAAAAGCAAAGACACCAACCAGAGTAACTTGGAGCAAATCAGCAGCCTGTAGGCCTGGTCTTTATTGAAGAAAGACTGTCGTGACAGGACTCCCACCGCCCACAAGGTGAAGCAAAATGGAAGCCCAGAACAAAGGAAGACTCCCAACTTTTATTAGCTTCTAATCCCCTGTGTTACACCCCTAGAAATACATCATAACTACATCATGACTACATTAAAAACAGGAGGAGTCAGGGGAGGGGTTGCACAGGTAATCTGAGTATCCTGACACCTGGCCGGAGCTCCTTCTCCCCCTCCCCAAGAGTCATTTTCAGAAGACAAAGGGATAGGTGCAGTTTCCTGCCCCCTGAGGGGAATCCTATCACTGTCCCTTTGTCATAGTCCGTGTTTAATCCACTAGTGTATGCAGTTCGTTGTGTCCTTGATAGTCTTCTGTCTGAGCCCATCAAGATGACTATCAAGGTTGCCATGTCAACTGGGAAGGGCTGTAGAGTATGTGCCTGCTCAGTCAAGGGATTATGGCCAACTGGTATTAGGTCACCCACCTTTGATAGTCCTTGTGATATGAAGCAGAATAAAAGTGATCTGGTGAAGATCCGATGTACGGCTGATTTATAGTGAATTTATGAAGAAAACTGTCCTTGAAGTTCAAAGCGCTTTCGTTTTTCCGGAAGCCGGTTGCAACATTTTGATTAAATCAGTCACGGTCAATTGAACTCGGAAACTTTGTATTTGAGGGCTGTCAAAGTATAGAGAAGCGCGCCTTTGCCTGCAGTACCTGCGTGGCCGCCACAAGGTGCGCTGTTCGGTAACGCTGATTGGTTGAAGCGGCAGCCGATTGACCTCGAGTTCGGAGAGCTGGTCGACCCATTATAAGAATAGGGCGAGGTAGAGTTTCACGGTCTACTCAGGGAAAATGCATCAAAATAAAGGGGTTCCGTGCAGAGCTGTCAAGTTAGCGCTTCCTTATTTACGGAAGGCTTTCAGGGGATACCCTTCTAGAAGGGGCATCTCCAGGCTTAGGGAGGTGGGAGGTGTGTGTGGTGCTTGTGCATTACAGTGTCCTGCTACAGTTCCCCCCTTCGGAGATAAGATTGCGAAGGTGGACACCGCGCAATCCTTTTCTCCGCACAAGCTAGTAAAAGTCTGACATGCCATACCCAGAATCCGGATTTCGCCGAGCTCCCAGGGGTCACATCTCGATGGAAGTTGAAGGGGTTCCTGGTGGGGACATCCTGTGAGAGGCAGGCGTGTGGGAGCGGAGAAGCGGAACGCAGGAGTCACACGTTTGACAGCAAAGCGGGAAACAATGGATAGCGCAGCAGAAGAAAGCAATGCAAACAGCTACGGTTATCAGAATCAGAGTCCGTTTCCCAAGAGTTGTTTTATCCATCCGGATCCCGGTAGCCAGCTCCAAAATTGAGCATCGGATAGACCTTCATGTTGGATATCTCTAAGCTCGTCTGTCAGTTTGTGGATATTGTTGAGATGACCCGTAATGTTCAAGGTCTGATCAGAGATGTACGTACAGCACTCAGTTCCTACGAGGGCACATACGCCTCCGGTCGAAGCCAGAATATAGTCCAAAGCAAGACGATTCTGAATCGCCATCTGTCTGACCTCCATCAGCTCCGTTAGGATAGATTGGGTTGCCGCGTTAGATTCTTCCATAAAAGTTAATAGAATGTCTGTCAGTTTAAGAATGTCTACATGGTTGGAACCTGCTCCGTAGGCGGGGAAGAGGGCTCACCCATAGGTTTCCCCATTGGCTGACACGTCGGAAAGTTCTGACAAGTCCTTTGCCCTCTTGTTGCGTCTCCTTCCAGGGGGGAGGTCTGGGGTGACCCTGATCCCAGGCAAGATTAGTCCAAGGTAGCAGGTGCCCCGGGAGTGGGGGCTGGCCCATACATAGCCACGATGGCCGCACACCCAAAACAATCCCTGTAGACAGGAGTCTATGCGGCCCGTGAGGAAGGTACGGAAAAAGCACTGGGAAACGGGGGAGGGGTCCCAAGAATTAGGCAAATTCATCACTTGTTTCCAAGCAGACAACAGATCTGGATGAGTAGAGGGGGTGCCCTGTCACCACAAAGTGATTTTACCGGTCAGGGTGATGTCAATGATGTATTTACAGGTGCTTTCTCCAATCATCCTGTCATTGCCGCTGAACTTCCGACAGAGGTCGCTTTTCGTAGGTCCGGTTAGGTAGATGTACTGGTGAGTTAAGTTTACGGCAGTCAGGTTCCAGGACTGTACATCAGCAGAGAGGTGTTGTTGTAAGGTGAGGGGTACTCCAAGGAAAGGAATGCCACTGCGGAGGTGAGCACAGTCGTTGGCACAGATCCAACAGTCGTCGGTGGTGGTCGTTTGCTTTGCAATTTCGGAGACCAGTTTCACGTAGGTGTTGGAATGCCAGGCGGATAACAGGTCGTGATTGGTAGGGGGTTCAGATATCGACAGTTCCCCTTTGTCGAGGTGCCGTGCCCGCGGGGTGGAGGGGGTCCTGTCGATGTAGGTAGGTGAGGTTTGTAGCCACACCTCCACATCTTTGGGGCCCAGTAGTATCCCACTCCGCGGGTGGGGTGGTGGAGTGATGCCAGCCCTCAAGGTACGCTCTGCCATCCCAGGTAGAGGCGAGGCCGATGTCCCAGACGCAGCAGTACCTTCGGAGGCAAACTCCCTGGAGGGTGGTGGGGCGAGGTACGGAGTCCACTCTCTGGCAGTAAAATCCATGAATCAGGCGGTCGGTCGGGTGATTTCGGTCAGTGTAGACTGATTCCCCACCGCCATTGTCCAAGATTGTCCAGTTTAGCGATTGTTGGGGCACACCGTCGGAAAATAGTGTATAGGAACCATTTATACAGCGGGCTCGGTTCCAGGGGCCATCTCGGCTTACTATGAGTTTGCCGAGTGGGGTGTAAGTTGGAGAACGGATGAACAGTTCCCAAGTTTGGTGTGTGGTGAGGGTAGGTAGTATGGAATGGCGAAGGAGAACGCGGGTCTCCGGTACGCAGAAGTCAAAATCCCCTAGGCGGTCCAATGTCCCTCTTTTTACCATGTCCACAATTCCGAAATCAAGATATTGGTGCTCAATTTGTAATCCTGGGCATGAAACATGTGTGGTCATGATGGTCGTTGAGCAGGTCATGATAGTGGCAAAAATGGAAAGCATGAGTAGGACGGAGGAGGGAGGAGGTAGGGTACGTCTAGTGGAGGGCATGGTAGTCAGGAACAGGGTGGCGGTAAGCGGCAGGCTGTGAAAGGCAAACTGTCAAACGGCGAAGCTGTCAAAAGGCGGAGCTGTCAAAAGGCAAGCTGTCAAAAGGCGAGCTGTCAAAAGGCGAGCTGTCAAACGCGAAGCTGTCAAAGGGCAAGCTGTCAAACGGCGTGAAGCGGTGCCTTACGGAGTTGGAGGCGGATCGGGGGTTGCTCCCGGTTGTCCGTTGTAGTGACGATTTCAGAGGTCCAATGGGTCGGTGTTGGTGTTGAAGCAGGTCCGGTCTGTAGGGCCCGATTCGTGCCCCGATCTGGTCCGGTCTGTAGGGCCCGATTCGTGCCCCGATCTGGTCCGGGCTGTTGGGCTCGATGCGTGCCCCGATCTGGTCCGGTCTGTTGGTTCGCCTCTGCGTCGGTGTCGTCGCCTGCCGGTTGTGGGGGAGTAGAGTAGGGCGCGTTGTCAGTGGCGGAGTCGGGTGGAGAAGCAGGTTTGCAGCGGGTATGATGTAGCCAGGCCGACTTCTCTGCTACCTTGACAGAGGTTGGGGTAGTTAGAAGTACCTGGTAGGGTCCTTCCCAGGTGGGCTGTAGGGGTACCTTCTGGTAAGTCTTTGCCAGTACCCAGTCCCCTGGTTGGAACGGATGGATGTTCTCGTCTAGAGGTATGTTTTGACTCCCGGCCGCGTATCTGTGGAGAACAATCAGTTGCTTCTGGAGCTGTATTATATATTTGGTTAATTCAGACTCACCTACTTCTAGTTCTGATGGGGGAAATTGGGTGTTGTATACGGGGGAGGGTCTCCCAAAAAGTAATTCATAAGGAGATAAGTTCAGGTTCCCACGGGGACATGCCCTGAGATTATGTAGGACCAAGGGGAGGGCATTGACCCATTTGATTCCAGAATCTTTGCAGAGTTTTCCCAGCTGAGACTTAAGCTGCTGGTTCATTCTTTCAACCTGCCCTGAGGATGGGGGGTGATATGGGGTGTGTAATTTCCATTTAACCCCTAGAGCTTTAGCTACTTGTTGCACTATGTCGGAGGTGAAGTGTGAGCCCCTGTCGCTGTCTATGTGTCTTGGAACCCCAAATCGTGGTATTATTTCATGCAGTAGAACTTTAGCGACTATTTGGGCAGTAGCTTAGCGAGTCGGGAAGCATTCCACCCATCCGGTCAATTGATCAATGATGACAAGGGCATGTTTGTAGCCCTGGCAAGGGGGTAGGTCTATGAAATCGACTTGTAGACTCTCAAATGGGACGAAAGCCCATGGTCTGGCTCCTGGTGGACATCTGGCGGTATGCTTAGGATTAAAGGTTTGGCAGGTGTGACAATTCCTCACTGTCGCTTTCGCAGCGAGAGCTAGTCCTGAGGCATACCAACAGCGTTGTACCGTGTCTATGAGCTTGTCCCTTCCCCAGTGGGTACACTGATGTAAGATCCTTAAGTGTTTGGGTACCCAGAGTCTGGGCATTAAGAGTCTCTTATCGGGAAGCTACCAAATGCCATTTTCTAAGAGAGCTCCTTGTTCCTCCTATCCCTTTATCTCCTCTGGGGTTGCAGTTTTGTACATTTGTTCAAAGTCCACATCTGAAGGAACCTGAGGTCCCTGGAATTCATTGTCTGCAGATAGCGGCTATAGGGCTGCTTCCTGCACTACGCGATCAGCACAACGGTTCCCTACTGAGATCAGGTCTTTCCCTTTGGTGTGAGCTTTACAATGCACTACCGCTATAGCTTCCGGGAGATGTATGGAATTCATGAGACGTTCCACTAGAGGCGCATGGGCTATTTGGGTGCCTGCAGCTGTCAAGAAGCCCCTTTGCAGCCAGATCTGTCCGGTGGCGTGAACCAACCCAAAGCAATATTTTGAATCTGTGTAAATGGTAATTCTTTGTCCCGCCCCCAGTTCGCAGGCTCGGATGAGAGCAATAAGTTCAGCAGCCTGCGCACTGTACTTGGCATGGACAGGGCGTGCTTCTAAGAGGTCGATGTCGCTGACAATAGCGTATCCGCTTTTCCGTTCCCCTCCCACTACCTTCGAGCTTCCGTCAGTATACAAGATGAGGTCAGGGTCCGCTAAGGGGAGATAGTCCAGGTCTTCCCATGGCTTTTCGGCATGGCGAACCACTTGGGAACAGTCGTGATGTGGGGTTCCATCGTCGGGGAGGGGTAAGAGAGTCACAGGGTTGAGAGAGTTTACTCTTTTTATGGTGACATTGGACGGACTGAGGAGGATAGCCTCGTACCTGTTCAGCCTTTGTATAGTGAAGCGTTGGCACCCTTGTAAGCTGAGAAGGGTAGCTACGGCATGAGGGACGTTTACAGTTAGATCATGTCCCAAAATAGTCTCTTGCGCCTTTTCTAGGAGTAATGCTGCAGCTGCCACCGCTCTAAGGCACCCCACGTTCCCCATTACAGCAGTGTCCAACTGGAGGCTGTAATAGGCGACAGGCCTATTCCTTCCCTGAAAGGGTTGTGTGAGGACACCAGACGCTACCGCTTTATTTTCATGGACGAATAAAGAGAAAGGCAGCCTATAGTCAGGGAGTCCGAGGGCAGGTGAAGATCTCAACTCCCGTTTGATAGATTCGAATGCTTCAAGGGCCTCCGCAGTCCATTGTAGTTGGTCTGGGGCATTGTCGTGGGTCATTGTAGTAAGGGGACGGGTGAATTCTCCGTACCGGGGGATCCAGGCGCAACAGAATCGGCTCATCCCGATGAAGCCCCTGAGCTGTCTTTTCGTTTTAGGAAGGGGTAGCTTAGTTATGGCCTCAATCCTATCTGTGGTTAGGGCACGGGTGCCTTCTCCCAGGATGTGGCCAAGGTATTTCACTTCCTTTTGGCAGTACTGTATCTTTTTTGGGGATACTTTGTGTCCCTTATGTGCCAGTATCGTCAGGAGAGCTATAGTGTCTGATCTGCAGGATTCTAAGTCCCGCCCACAAAGCAAGATATCATCAACGTAAAGCCTGAGGGTGGAGCCTCCCGGAAGGGCCACATCTAATAGGTCTTGATGTAATATGGAAGAGAAGATTGCCGGAGATTCTACATATCCTTGAGGCAACCGGGTCCATGTTAGTTGACCGGTTTGCCAGGTGAAAGCAAAGAGGAATTGGCTCTCTGGGTCCACGGGGATACTAAAGAAGGCAGAACATAAGTCGATGACGGAGTAAACTACAGTTCCCTCCGGAATGGTGCTCAAAAGGTGGTGGGGGTTAGCGACTACAGCGTGCCTGGGAATAACGAAAGAATTGACGAGTCTGAGGTCTTGCACCAAGCGCCATTTGACGGGGTTTGTGTTGGGCTTCTTGACAGGAAGGAGAGGGGTGTTACACGGAGAGGCACAAGGAACTAGAACTCCCATCTTTAGGAACTCGTCAATCATTGGAGTGAGTCCCTCTATTGCTTCCGGGGTAGGGGGTATTGCTTGGTGCAAGGAAACGGTAGGTCCTTCCTATAGTTTACTTTTACTGGGGTTGCAGACTTTAGGAGTCCAACTGATGTCGATTCGGTTCCCCATAGCCAAGGGGGAACACTATTGAGAAGTTTGGGAGGAAGATCAATGGCTTTGCTGTTAGCTTCCTGAAGAATCCCTTGGAAATTGAAAATGGAGTCATTTGGCATGTGCAAATAAATTCCTTCCTGGCCACATTGGATCGTAGCGTTCAGTTTGCAGAGCAGATCCCTCCCCAAGAGGTTGACGGGGCTAGAGGTTAGTAAGAAGGTATGTTTGACCAATAGAGGTCCGACTGAGACTTTTGCAGGTTTGGAAAGGGGGCAGTTCCGGGGGATTCCATTGAGTCCCATCACAGTCCTAGTTTCTTCCCCCGGGGCCAAGTGGCTATTGGTAAGGGTGGAGTAAGTGGCCCCAGTGTCAAGGAGGCAGTCATAAGATTGTCCATCGATTTGCATAGTGCAGATGGGGTCAGAGGAGGATAGTTGTAAGACTGGGCAAAGAAAGGAAAAGGAGGCGGGATCTGCTTCTGATTGTCAATATTCATGATACTCTTCCATCACCATCTTGTGGGGTATGTTGGTTGGTCGGTTAGCGTGATTGAAAGGGTTGTTGGTATGGTTAGGTGGGTTCCTTGGTCGTGGCAGAGGAGGGGGTCCCATAGGGGTTGCAGTAGATCCCCTTGCAGGTGGTGCTTGACTTTGAAAATGAGAAGATCCATACTGGGTGGTAGGATCATTGAGTTTGGGGTAGGTTGGTTCCCTGTATTCTGATTTAAAGGGTTTGTACTCCCTATAGTCCATTCTCCTAATTCCCTGATCTTGTGTGCGGGTAAGAAGGGGGCAGTTTCTTTTCATGTCCCCCGGCTCATTGCAGTGATAACAGAGGGGCCTCCAGTGTGCTCGTGCCCTTTCCCTCTTGGCTTATCTTTGGAAGGGAGTCCACTTGCATAAGCTAGTACCCGTGGGGAATCAGGCTTTGGATCTTTTCGCTTCCTTTCATCCCTTGAGTTGAAAACGGACTTTGCAATGGAAAGAATCTCATTCATTGTTTTCCCGTCATACCCTAGGTGCGAATTTAATGCTTTCCGTATGTCGGGTGTTGCCTGGTCCTTAAAGAACCCTTTAACGATGACCTTGTGCTGTGGGCTCTCCGGGTCAATCCCACCCCAAGTTTTAATCGCGGATACTAGCCGGGTGTAGTAGTCGGCGGGGTGTTCATCTGGTCCTTGAAGGACGGCTTGGACGTTCGTCCAATTCACAGTCCGCTGTCCTGCAGCTTTTATTCCATCCAAGATGGCTTTCTTAAAAATCTTTAAGCCCCAGATACCGTTATCAGTATTGTAGTCCCAGTCTGGGTCGTTAATTAAGTTCTGGGCGGTAAGTGGAGCCATTGAAGCGGGACGGCCTGGTTGGTAGTCTACCCGGGTTAAAGCCTCCCCCACTTTCACCAGTATTTCCCTTTTTTCTGCCTCATTAAAAAGGGCCCCAAGTAGCATATGCACATCTGCCCAGGTGGGGTTGTGGGTGGAGAAGATGGTGGCCACTTGACGGTGGCATTTGTCAGGGTCGTCCCGGAGAGAAGGCATTTTGTCCGACCAGTTCATTAAGTCCGCGGTAAGAAAGGGCTGGTGAGTGAATACCATGGGAGGTGGGTCTCCTGCCCTGGTCGGGGGTATGGGGAGTGCCCTGAGGGGAAAAGCGCCCTCCACCTCTCCGTTAGCCAAATTGTCCCTGTTCCGTGTTCTACTGGAAACCGGCCCGTCTCTTTCCCCATTAGACAGATCTTCATTTAGTGGCGCTCTCATATTTGGGTCGGTTTGGTCCTCCCCTGTTTCCCATGTGCCTTGGGGAAGGTTGAGCGACGATGGGACTGGTGTATTGAGTGAAGGGGTGGCGGCGGCGGGATTTGTTAGGTTTTCCCCAGGTCTTGCATTTGTCCCAGCCCCTGCTCCTGCTCTATCTCCGGCCCCTGGTCTTGGCGGTGGAGGTGCCATCGGCTCAGGGTAATAGAAAGGGATAAGAGATCTATCCAGTTGCTCTTCTTGGGCTTTAATTTCATCATATGGGGGAGGTCCGGTTGTTTTTAAGACGGCCATCTGCCGGACAATTTGGGCTTGTTTGCGGTGAAATAGTTTGCGGGCTTCCACGAAGGCATTAAGATAATAAAGTTGTTGGGGCCTTTCGTCCGCTAGATAAGTTCTAAGTGCTTGCATCTTTGTGAGATTAAAGGAGCCATGAGGTGGCCATTGAGATGCTGGCTCCAGTTGGTGGGTGAAGGCTACCCACGAGAGATTGCAAAGGTCCCTCAGTTTAGACTTGGAGAGACCCTTCCTTCCTCTTAGTTCTTTCCAGTTTAAAAGGATGAACTCAAGAGGAGTATCGGAGTCCTCCCTAGGGCGAAGAGGCTTCATAGAAGCCTGGTCACCGGGGGGTGTCCAGTCTGAGTGTTTAGAAGCGTGAGCTCCCATTTCAGTCTAATGCCAAGGAGTTGCTCAATATACAACGCTAGGGGTGGAAAAAGAGTACAAGAAAGGGACAAAGAAGGGGGGGTAGAGAAAAGAATAGGATATCAGTATTTGACTTTTCCTTCTTCTTCTAACTAAAGGCAACCCCTGCCTACCAGAAAACCACAGGTCTCTCTAGCCCAAACTACCACAGGCGACCTGCCTGAAAACCACGGATCCGTAATTTTTTTACCCAGCGCTGCTTACAAAACTAGCCCTAGTGTGGGGCCCCGGTTCGTGAACCTCCCTTTCTATCATCCACGACAGCCTCCTGCCTAGCCCTTGGGACTAAGTTCGGATTCCCTACTGAACGCCTGCACAGTGCAGTGCCAGATCGGGGTCTGAGAAAGCAAAGTTTTGAAAGGAAGCAAATGACCTTGCGTTCTCACGTACACGGGTCATCCCCAACAAGGGTCGCCGAGCAGGAGGGGCGGCTTCATTTGCATGGACAGGGGGAGAGACAGAGAGAGAGAGAGAGAGAGAGAGAGAAAAGATTTGTCAGGACGCTTCCGGGCGACTCCGAAAGAAGACGTCAGAAAAGGATTATAAGGAGGGTTCCCGTGGTTTCCCCGGCCAGGCTCCGAGAGGGTAATCGGGGAGAGGAAGAGAGAGAGAGAGTTTAGGACGTTCCTGGTCGACTCTAAGGGGAGACATCAGAGAGAAAAGAACAACAAAAAGTTTCTGCGATTTCCCCGGCCAGGCTCCGAGAGGGAAATCGGGGAGAGGAAGAGAGAGAGTTTAGGACGTTCCTGGTTGACTCCGAGGGGAGACGTCAGAGGTAGAAAGAAGAAAAGCCCAGCTGTCGTGGAGACGTTACCTTTCCACCCCCCTCCCAATGTATTTACTTCAAACCATGCTCACATTCATAGATGTCCCTCGTGGATCCCGGGATCCTTTCTCTTTAGCCAGCTTGACCTTGCCTTTGTTCCCCCTGGCTGGGCTTTTGGTGATGATTGATTACCGCCCGCAAAGAGGAGGCAGGGAGAGGAAAAAATGATCCCCAGGCCAAGGTTGCCCAGTGGCGCCCAATCCCCTCTATCTCCCTCCTCACCTTCTCAGGAGAACCAAGTGTCCCTGAGCACGGTCGCCAAAACTGTTACCGGAAATTCCGAGGGCTCCGTTGGGTAAAAGCAGACACCAACCAGAGTAACTTGGAGCAAATCAGCAGCCTGTAGGCCTGGTCTTTATTGAAGAAAGACTGTCACGACAGGACTCCCACCGCCCACAAGGTGAAGCAAAATGGAAGCCCAGAACAAAGGAAGACTCCCAACTTTTATTAGCTTCTAATCCCCTGTGTTACACCCCTAGAAATACATCATAACTACATCATGACTACATTAAAAACAGGAGGAGTCAGGGGAGGGGTTGCATAGGTAATCTGAGTATCCTGACACCTGGCCGGAGCTCCTTCTCCCCCTCCCCAAGAGTCATTTTCAGAAGACAAAGGGATAGGTGCAGTTTCCTGCCCCCTGAGGGGAATCCTATCACTGTCCCTTTGTCATAGTCCGTGTTTAATCCACTAGTGTATGCAGTTCGTTGTGTCCTTGATAGTCTTCTGTCTGAGCCCATCAAGATGACTATCAAGGTTGCCATGTCAACTGGGAAGGGCTGTAGAGTACGTGCCTGCTCAGTCAAGGGATTATGGCTGACTGGTATCAGGTCACCCCCCTTTGATAGTCCTTGTGATATGAAGCAGAATAAAAGTGGTCCGGTGAAGATCCGATGTACTGCTGATTTATAGTGAATTTATGAAGAAAACTGTCCTTGAAGTTCAAAGCGCTTTCGTTTTTCCAGAAGCCGGTTGCAACATTTTGATTAAATCAGTCACGGTCAATTGAACTCGGAAACTTTGTATTTGAGGGCTGTCACAGTATAGAGAAGCGCGCGCCTGCTGCCTGCAATACCTGCGTGGCCGCCACAACGGGTGCTGTTCGGTAACGCTGATTGGTTGAAGCGGCAGCCAATTGACCTCGAGTTCGGAGAGCTGGTCGACCCATTATAAGAATAGGGCGAGGTAGAGTTTCACAGTCTACTCAGGGAAAATGCACCAAAATAAAGGGGTTCCATGCAGAGCTGTCAAGTTAGCGCTTCCTTATTTACGGAAGGCTTTCAGGGGATACCCTTCTAGAAGGGGCATCTCCAGGCTCAGGGAGGTGGGAGGTGTGTGTGGTGCTTGTGCATTACAGTGTAATGAAGGGGGGGGTGTCTCCTGCTACACATGTTATGGCCAAGATAGCAACGTGTTAATGGCAGCGTGTCCTGAGGTGATTGATGGCCAGGACGGGAGGTCTGTGTGTCTGTTGCAGCCAGCAGCTTAAAAGTCTGGCTAGAGGCCTGTTTTGTGCCATGCCTGGAGGCACAGAGCAGTAGAAACTCACTGGTGAAAGCAAGCCATTTTCCAGAGCTGGGAGCTGAGAGCTGGTACTTGTATCTAGAACCCAGGTGGGCCTGAGACGGCTGCTTGCAAAATTAAGTTCTTATTGCACAAGGAATGCTTTATCTATAAACTATGATAAGACGCAGGTCATTGTATTTGGGAAGCGTTCTAAAAAGCATGTTTGGCACCTGGATGAACACATCATAAACCAAGAAATACGTTTAAATATCTGGGATTGATTTATTCAGAAACGGCATCTTGGAATACACAGCTATCCAATATTAAATTGCAAGCCTTTAAATCAGCAAAAGGTATTCTGAAATTTGCTGCCTGTAATGGTGGAAATCTGGTCAACCCAGCTCTATCTGTGTATAAAGCAAAAACAATGGCCCAGATTTTATATGGTGCAGAGGTTTGGGGTACCTCAAAGGTCTCGGGTTTGGAACCCCCACAGAATTATTTTTAAGAGTTCTTTTAGGTTTACCCAAAGACGTGCAATCTGCCATGGTCAGGTTGGAAACTCGCATGTTGAGCATAGAGAGCCAAATAGATAAAAGAATTCTCTGCTACTGGTTTAGAGTTCAACAGATGGACAACACTAGGCTACCAAAAAAATGCCTGATTGAGCTCTTGTAATGGTTCTAGGGGTTGCTCGTGCGTAAATCGGCGCCCCACCTGGCTGGGTTGCCTGAGTGAACCTTTTCTGTCCGGACAGCCACTCGCCCGTGGCTGTCTCAATCACTGGCAGAATCCGTCAGTTTCTTGAACTTCTTCCAGCAAAGAAGTTCTTTGACGCCTAGTCTCCCTGCGCGGAAGCCTTCTGCGCAGGGAGGGTGTGGGCAGCGGAGGACCCATGCTCTCCCCGCTGGTCCCCGGCGAAGAGTCATGGAGCCACCTCGCCGATTCCCCCATCTGCCCCCCTTCTCCACTGTTGCTACGCTGATTTCCTTCCCCAGAAGATGTGCTGCTTCTCTCCCTCCCGGGACGCTCTCCGGAATCCCTCTGGAGCCCTCCCTCTCCCCCTGGCTCCGATGGCAGTTCCCTGACAGCTCTCGAATTGATTACCCCTTAAAAACTGGGTACATCATGCTGCCCAACTGATGGGCAAATATGACCTCTCAGTGACTGAGATTAAAGAACTTCCCTTATATTCCCAGAAAAATATCTTTAAACGAACCATAAGGGCAGTGGCAACTAAAAACGATCTAAACTCTATGTGCACATCTACATGCGCCCCATTGTATTTTAAACTTAGAGAGGCCAATGAACACATATCTTATTTTAATGAATTGACCTTTGCACAACTTCGAAAAGCTTTTACAGAGCTACGACTAAATACAATAAGCTCTGCTTATAGAGATGGGAGACACAGAGGCATACCAAAAAACGAATGTGTTTGCATTAGGGGATGTTCTGAAGTAGAGGACCTTATGCATTATATCTTGCACTGTCCTTTATATAATGATGCAAGAAAAAGATTTTTGGTACCTATAATGACAGGGTCCCCTGGCCAGAACCCCTTTGACATGATTTTATATCTCCTCGCAGACACAGATAAGTATGTGACCTGGCGTGTAGCACTTTTTGCAACTGCTGCTAGGAAAATTAGAGCATAGCCAAGGTAGCCATTAACTGTAAAGGAGATGATTATTAGTGACCATGTGATGATTTTAGCTTATGAATTTTATTGTTTAATGTTTTTATTTGTACATTGGGATACTTTTATAGCTCTGTTTAGAGTACGTAATGTTTTAATAATATAAATGTTTTAAGTCTTTTTTATCAATTCAGTATATTTTCTTTTAATTGTCAAATAATTCTGTGTACATTGCAGCAGCCTTTGGCTATGTGCAATAAAACTGACTGAGACTGACTGAGAGCTGGAAGCTGGAGAGAGCAGCAGCCGTGTAAGTAACACAAGCCCCAGAAAGAAAAAAAATGGCAGAGGTTCAGGAAAATTTTATGGTGGCCTTCCCAAGGCTGACGGGGAAGAACTGGGTGGACTGGTCCACGAAAATGCAGGTTTTGTTAACTGCTAAAGGCCTTTGGACTTGTACGCAGAACCCACCTGTACAGGCCCCGGCAGGGGCAGCAGACGGAGTTGTAGCTGCTGCAGCTGCAGAGCTGAGAAGAGACCAGAGAGCTGTTGCTCATTTGGTCATGGCCATTGATGGGGCTCAGATGGTTCACACTGACCACGCCACCTATGCCCACGAGATCTGGGGGGCCCTTCAACGTTTGCATCAGTGGGACATGGCTGGGGCCCGGATTCATGTCACCAGACAGCTGTTTGAGTTACGTTTGCAACCGGGAGGCTGCGTGAAAGAGCACA